GCGATGCAGCCACTGCCGTGGAGTGAGATTCGAGCGCGCGAGGCCGCCGGCCCGACCCGCACCTTCCCGCCTGCTGCCCACCCGCTGCGCAGGCCATCAGAGTCTGTCTGGGCCCAGCCGCTCTGGGCCAGTTATATGGTTCCAGCCCAGTTCTCCAACTCCTTCATGTCTTCGTCTTCCTCTTCCTTCTTCTTGGCTGTGGGAAGAGGGAAAAGGGAATTCAGGGGGTCTGGCTGTACTGCTCCTGGATGCCCAGCCTGCCCTGCACTCACAGCCTCTCCTCAGGCCTGGAGGTTGCCAGGCAAAGCTCCAGAAGAGTGGGCTCACCTTCCACCCCCAGCAGGGCCAGCCAGGTCAGCAGGGGATGCTCCACTCGGAGAGGCCGCAGAGCACCCAAGGGTGGAGAGGTGGGGCACGGGACATGACCCTCACACAAACTCTAATCCTCGCCAGCCCCCAGCTCCACCACAGGATGCCCAAATCACTCTGTACCCCCAGACAGCTGACTACAGGGGGGCCTCTCCTCTGCACACTCTGGAAAGGATGGGGACCACAGCCCAGTCATGCACAGCACCCTGGTGCCCTCTCCATGCCAACGCAACTGTTTCTCCTTTTCCAGAAGCTCTGTGTAGAATATTTCTGCCAGGGGAGACACACTGTGGGAGGGAGGGAAGTTGCAACAGGGACAAGGAAATGACCGTCTTGTGGAACCAGGTCTCTGAAAGAGCCAAAGCTGCTTTCTTCCCCCAGGGCTGCCTCTGAGGGGCCAAGCTCTTATGCACACAGGACTCACACACCAGACCAGGGCTGCCTAGGACTTAAATTTTCACACCTTTCATGGGGCCTGGAACTTTCTCTTGGTTGATGACATAGGAAACAAACAGGATGCTAGAATAGAGGCTCTTAACTGTGGGTGAATGCCCACATCCCACCACCAGGGGACACTTGGCAATATCTAGAAATGGCTTGGGTTGTCACAACTCAGGGGTGGGTGCTATTGATATCCAGCAGGGAGAGGCCAGAGATGCTGCAAAATACCAATGGTGCACAGCACACCCGCTCTGCCCCATTCCTACCCCAGAATCATCTGTCCATGTAAACAGTGCTGAGATTAAAAAACCCTGTTAAGAGATACTAGGGAAGGGCAGAGGACACTGTCACCGTGATCACAACTCATCTCATCTGGTTCTCAATCCTGCCTAAGCTCAGATCCAAGCTGAAGTCAACTGACCACAAGAGCACTTGAGGGGCACCAAGGGTGTGCCCTGCAGGCCTCTAGGAGGGTTACTTACTGGGTTTGGATGGTAGGGCTATCGAGGGAACGTTTGGTAGAGGAACTGTTTCGGGACCACTGATCTCCAGCAAATTCTTGTCTAGCTCCTCCTGTTCTAGTGCTTCTAATTCCGCCATGAGCTCATCCTGTAAAAGCAAACAGAGTGAGAAAGCCCTCCCTGGGCGTGCTGTGAGAGCCCTGGGAGGAGGGGTTCTACCTTTTCATTCCTGTTTCTTTATCTCAAGTGGGTGTCCTGAGGGAACGCTCGGGAGTGTTTGCTGAATGACGCAAACCTGATGCGCCTGTTCAGCTCCCGACGGAGACTATGAAGACCTGGTGCTGGGAGCTGAGGGTGCAAGCAAAAGGCTGCTTTCTCATTCTATCTACAGTGGAGTTTGGGAGCACAGAGGAGTCCATTCAGCACAGAGGGGCTGACCTTCAAGGGACTCGACAGCATAATGAAGCACCTGCACTGGGAGCTGCTACTCTATTTTAAAAGCCCAAAAGACTCAAGATCCCAAATTGCTACAGCAGCAAGTGGTAGGAAGCCAAGGTCCAGAAAGGACCCTCAGAGATCAGATGTAAATGTCCGTTCCTGGACTGTTCCTTTAGCTCATGTCACAGCTGTACGGGCAAATCCTGTGAACTTCTCCAGGCTGTGATGAGCACAGTGCCCACCACAGGGAGAAGCAGGGTTACCTCACTGAAACCAATTCCTATTCAGAAGCCTGCTAAAGGGGCCCAGTGAAGGTCCCCTCACTCCACCCATCCCAAACAGTAAGTGAATCCAGAATTCAAGAAGAGTTAACACCACGCCCCATCTATATCCAAGTCTGGAGAGGAAAGAATGGGTAATTTCCCAGCCACACCTCCCTGCCTCAGAATCTTCAAGAACACATCAAGGGCCAGCCTGAGTGTCATCCACGAGTAGTATGTGATCCACAGGAAACCACTCACCTCATCAAACTCTTCTCCAAACCCTACAGGTTTGGAAATAGCTGTGGAAATCTCCTCTGCAAGTTCTTGCTGGTCAGCAATATCCTGCATTAACTCATCAACTTTATTGATGTCCCTGGAAATGGACAGATCGTTGTATTAGTTCATCAGTCTCTGTACAGAAAGACTGCGAAGCAAAGGCAGAAATGCGACTCCATGCACTCTGCTTCCCAGGCAACACCCCCCCTACAATATGTAACCCCACTGCGAGGAGTTATTGTACTTGTCACCACTGCCCTCCTCTTCTCCTTTAAAACAGAGAATCATAGCTGGGCATGGTGGTGCACACCTGTAATCCCAGCACTTGGGAAGCTGAGGCAGGAAGATCTCCACCCACATCAAAGCCAGCATGGGCTACATAGTGAGACCCTTCTCAAAAAAAACAACTCCTCATATACATGAAGACCATTCTTCCTTCAACCTCATGTTTCCCGAGCAGGGAATGATAAATTTTTTCTGTAAAGGCCCTGATAGTAAGTATTTCAGAATTTGTAGTCTGCATAGTCCTTGTTACTCAACTCTGCTTCGCAGCACAAAAGTAGCTAGACAATAAGGAATTAATGGCATAACAATATTTCAATAGAACTTTATTTAAAAAAATAGGTGCAAGCTTATAGGCTGCATTGTGCCAGCTCCTGTTCTACCCAAAAGGAAGCAAGAGAAGCTCCAAGCACCCCCAAATATAGGTTGCTAAGCTAAGAACTAAAACACAAGTAAAATTGTGTTCATGGGAGAGGCCCTTGTTTGGAACCGATTGACCTTGGCCTTCAACTGCAATTCTAACAAGATGGATTATCTACTTTCTTAGGCCACTGCACATGAAAAAAGAGCCACCAGAGAAGGAAGACCCCTGCGGGTAGGAATGCTGCCCGCATGACACCCAGAACCTGACAGCAAGGAAAGAGGCAAAAAATAAATTCTCAAAATCAAAAGCAGACAAAAAACCAGAAAGATAAAAAACAAAAACAGAGTGATCCAAAGCCCTCAGATATCTCGCATGCACCAAGGCCTTGCCGCGGATGGCAAAGCCATGACCACTGATCTGTAACCTAGTTCTCTCCATACTCAACTTGGGCAGGTCAGCTTCCCCCTCTGGATCACAGGCTTTTCTACAGCCTGGTACTCAGAGGCCCAAGTAAAAGGATAAAACTATGCTCATCACAATAACCCAGAATCACTGGGGCATTTTTTTCATTCCATGAGCTCTGCTTCCAAGGCAGTGGAGTACACGATCCACTTTAGGAAGAGTTCCAAAACAGAAGGCAAATTAAGCTCAGGTGCTTGAATGATTAGTCAAGGAGTCCACCCAAGCAGGAGTCCTACAGGGCCAGCACTGCTCTGCCACTGGGTCTCCTCCGCCCAGCAGCAGGGGCACCTACATGTTGTCGTGCGCAGCCTTCATGGCTTTAGCGGCGTAGCCCATGTTCTTGAGCACCTCGGTGTTGGTGTTGGCGTTCTCCAGGGCCTCCCGCTGGAACTCAATGGTGGACAGCGTGCCATCAATCTGCGCCAGCTGCTTCTCATACCTCTTCTTGCGCTTCAGTGCCTGGAGGGCCGCTGTGCAGGAGAGAAAACAGCGTGTCAGAGCCCAGACACAGGGTGCTGTCCTTGGAGTCCCTGAGCCTTCCCTAGTTGTATTGTTTGCGTCTCGGTTGTTGTTTCCCTTTAAGAGGGTTAAACTCTTCTACAAGCACCAACCACATTCAATTTTCAAAGAAAATTCACATACGTCAACGCGCAGCCAGGGGATGAGCCCAGAAGCAGAGCTCACACGCCCTGGTAACCACACACCCAAATCAACACAGTGCCAGGCATCCAGTGCAAGAACGCACTCTAAGGCTGCTCGAGCTCAGACATAGGTGAGCAACTTAGGATCTCAGCTAGGCTTCTTATGGGGAGTAAATGGGATAATGCACATTAAACAAAGTAGATACCCAAAAAACTCTGGCAGCAATAAGTATTATAAAGTAGGAGGAGCCTGGCATGGTGGCGCTGAGGCAGGAGGATTGCCATGAGTTCAAAAAAATCAATAAAAAATAGAAATAACATGAAGTAGGAGGAAAGTGCCAACTAAATTACAGAAGTAATAAAGAAGTATACCAAATACAAAATTGGTTTGGGTATGCTATGTCACACAAAGCCAACAAACTTGTGAACTATTATAATGCTTCCAAAGAGTAATACGGCAACACACAGTAACAGAATAATGATGTTCTGCTCTTTAGGCCAGTGATTTCTCTCTGGAAATTTATTCAACAAAATTCAACAGCAAATCCCAACTGCACACAGTGGTGCTCTGTATTTGGGAGGCTGAGGCAGGAGGACCACAGTGAATTCAAGGTCAGCCTGGGCTACACAGTGAGTTCAAAGTCAGCCTGAATTGAACTACATAGTGAGACCCTGTCTCCAAAAAATAAAAGCCAAAAAACAGAAGTCCTGTGTCTAAAGATGACTACTACAGCATTTTCTATCACAGAAAATAAACTCCAATCATATTTCTCAGTGAGACAGAGTGTAGACTAAGTTGCACAGGCTGGGCTTGAACTTGGGATCTTCCCTGAGCCTCTCAAGAGCACTGGAATTACAGGCACACACCATCACACCGTGATCATCTTGTTTTAAAGTCTACTCAAGCCGGTTGTGTGGCAAAACTGGGCCATATCCCCTGCTCCTAATCCAGGTTGCCTTCACTTACTGCTTCAATGCCCCTCCTTCATATACTAGAAATTATTTTTAGTACATACCTTAAAGGGGCATCAAAGCCAGGAAGGTGGCTCAGCAGACTCGGGCTTCTAGGATTGTGTTGGGACCCGGCAGCACTTCCCAGCATGTACACTAGCTCCCTCATATCCAGAAGGGCAGGCCAGACCCTGACCCAGAGCTAGACAAGTCCTACGATCCCCTCAGCCACCAAGCTGTGCTTTCTCTGTAAGCTGCACGGATAACAGGACCTTTTTACTCAGGCTCTCAACCTAGAATTCCATCCTGAGACCCACCTGCGAAGGTGAAAATGGCTTTGCCTCAATATGATCACCCACAGTTCCTCCAAAAGCAGCAAACTAACCAACTAGGATACACTCCCATAGTCAAAGGGTAAAACAAGCTAAAGAGAATTTGCAAAAAAATATGAAGAACGAAATGTATGTTACCTCATTAAAACTTGAAAAGTCATTTAATCTGCTATCTTCCTTGATCTTTTTTTTTTTTTTTTTGGAGACAGGGCTGGCCTCGAACTTACAGTCTTCCTGCCTCAGCCTCCTGAGTGCTGAGATTACAGGTGTGCACCACCACACCCAGTGGCTATCTCCCTTGATCTTAACATGAATGACTAAACTAGCCCACCTCAAGATCTGGACTGACCACTCTTACCTTGAGCCAGGACTAAGTCACATGCATACTCCCTAGCGCCCTCACAGCCTTACTTTTCCAAATTCCTGAAGGTTGGGTTAAAAAAAAAATTACTGAGTTAATGAAGAGCTGTTCATCTACCCAAATATTCAAAGAAAAAGCATCCCCCAAAATCCCTCCTCTGCCAAATAATTCCCAGCATCATTTGTAAACAGAAGGCTTCTGTAATTGAAATCTAACCCAGGCCCACAGAAGTGTAAGAGGCTGCTTTTAGATGGAAAAAAATAGAACTTGGAATCTCCATATTTAATTATGCCTTTGCTGGTTCCAAGAGAGTAATTACAGCAGCAATTATAGAATCTAATAACCAGCTTTATTGGCTCTGAAAGCTGAAGCAAAAACAACTCCAACCATGTTGAAATAAACATTGGTCTCCAGACAGTTGCTTCTTTAGACCCTCCCAATAGCTATTTGGGGGAAGATACAGAAGAGATAATCCTAAGAGGCAGGGCCAGTCAGGAGACCTGCACCCAAGACCAGAAACGCCTTTGCAAGGCATCTGCTAGCAACAAAACACATCAGTTCAATACAACTGGACAGAACATTCTCTTCTCCCAGGCTAAGACCAACTTGACCTTTCCTTGAGAGATTCTGAGGAGAAAGTCCAGTCTGCCTGCCCTGATCTGCTCAATATTCAGTCTAGCGGCAAACAAACGCGAGCATCCATCCCAACAGATGCTGAACAGTCATGACCACGCGCTCCCTACTAGCAGAGAGGCCAGGTAGGGAGGAAGGAGGCCCACACAACCTGCCCTCACTGAATGGATGAGGGAGTCTGCAGTCCTTTCCAAGAAAATCCTACGCATGAAGTCATGTGGCAGAAAGTGCAGGCCCAGGAGGGAAGAAGTGTGCAGGCTCCTTTCCGCGCTTGGCAGGAACGACACAGCAGATACAAACACACCTCTGAGGATGCTTACAGGCCCAACATGGGACGCGAGCCTCAGCCGCCCGGGGGCGCGCAGCGGGGCCACTGGCAGGCAGCGTGAGAGGGAGGCTGAGGAGGCCCTGCTTTCCCCGCCTCCTGCCATCGCTCAGATGCTCCTGGTTCATTGTGCCTGTGAATCAACTTTACATCTTCAGGAACCCTCAACCAGAGGTGGAGCAGGGGGGTCATCTGTCACCCTCTGTGTACGTCAGTAAGAAGAGTCAAAACCACAAAGTTAACCAATGTCAAAGCAACCCATCTTCCTATTGGGATTGTTATGAGCAGCCATCCTGTACCACACATCAAAGATCCCTACAAAACCTTAACCAGGTAAGAGCTGGAATTTTAATATCTAGGGCAAAGGGGGCTCAAAGAACTCTTGAAGGTACTGAAGTCCAAGCCCTCTCATTAGGTAAAAGAGAAATGAGAGTCCTGCTTAAATAGGGCATGGTCGCACATGCCTGTAACCCCAGCACTGGATTTTCTGAGGCAGGAGGATCACAGCAAGGTCAAAGCCAGCCTGGCCTAAATAGTGAGACTGTGTCCCCCCAAAAAAAGATTCCTAAAGAAGGTGACACAGCCTGTCTACGCCCTGCAGTAAATCAGAGAAAGAATCAGGCATCCACCCAAGGCTCTCATAGCCACTTCAAATCTGTTATCTCCAAACTAATTTGCTGGAAATAAAGCAACAGCTCCCCCTGCCATAGGGAAAAGTCAACACTCTTTCGTGGCATCTCCAAACTCTGCCCCCCTTTGCAAACCTATCTGAAAGTTCATGCTGACATGTGAAAGAACTGGAGAGCTATTCAATTTGCTCTCTGAAGGCCCTGGTTAAAAGAAAATGAAGCACGGAAAAGCAGTATTTGTTGGCCTGGGTTGAGGATATTCTCCTCAAATGGTGCTGCTGATACTGCCTGTGGTTCCAGAAGGGACAGAGTGGGGCTCTCAGTCTCTACCTTGCACAAAGGAGGCAGGAACAACAGGGCAGACCTATGGGGCTTACAGAAAATTCTCACAAACCAAAATGCCTCTGCAGCCCAGACAGAGGATGTTTTGTGTCCACTGCCAAGCAGACAGTGTCCCAAGCTCACCTGCACGACAGAGGGCCTCATCTTCCACAGTCTTGGAATGCTGCTGACACCACTGTGTATATTCCCACACAGCTTGGGAGTTCAGGCCAGAGGCAGAGACACATTTTTCAGAGCAGCCTCCTTCACTGTGATGTATCTCCCTGTTCCCCTAATTTGTTCTCTGTGGCCTGGAGCTAACGTGCTTCATTTAGAGATGGTAAAATAAGTACTTGTATATGACCAGGAAATCGGAGTCTGAAACCCTGCTGACTTCATCAGCAAACACACAGGGAGTACAGTACTCGCTGTAAGGGAAAATTCTAGAGAGAAAAAAAGAGGATTCTTAACGGTTTAAACAGGGACAAAGCCGGAAGTGGTGATGCACACCTGTGATCCCAGCACAAAAGGAGGCTGAGGTAGGAGTATCATTGCGAGTTTGAGGCCAGCCTGGGCTACAAAATGAGTTTAAGACCAGCCTGAACTGCATAGTGAGACCCTGCCTCAAAAAAAAAAGGGGGGGCGGGTGATGCGCTGGGGATATGGCTCAGCAGCACAGCGCCTGCCTAGCAAGCACAAGGTCCTGAGTTCGATTCCTGGTACCAAAAAACAAAACAAAACAAAACAAAAACCCTAAACAGGGACAAAGATAAAAGAAGTTCCACAATTTTTTTTCAGTACTCAGGACTGAACTCAAGGACCTTCACACTAAGCTTCATCCCCAGGCCTTTTTAAAAAATTTTATTTTTTGAGACATGGTCTTGATAAGTTGCTAAGCTACCCAGGCTGGCCTCAAATTTGCAATCCTCCTGTCTCAGCCTCCCCGAGTGCTGGGAGCATGGGTATGTGCCACCACTCCCAGCTAAGTTCCACAATGAACAATCTAACAGAAATCAAGCTGCTCCAAAATCATTTAAACAGCATATACAAAGTGTGTTCTCGGCCTAGCACTGGGGCTCAGTGGTAGTGCATTTGTCCAAGTTGTCCAGCCTCAAATTTCAGCTCCACCTACTTAATGTCACTAATCCTCCTGACAAGGGTAACACCCACTTCACAAGGTGACTGTGAGGACTAGAATGAGACACACAGCAACACACCCGCGAAGTGCTTGACGTGCCGCAAGTGCTCAGAAAATGCTGTCATGGGTATGTGTAACT